GTAAATCATTAATTGGGAGTGGTAGATGCACTTTAACGGACTGCCGAGTCCACATGGACACAGTTAATGTAAGACAAAGAGGCGGCAGCCGCCCCAAATTTTTGAAAAATATCAAATGTAAAAGGAAAAACTGGATCTCAGCCACGACTCCTAATTCTTTGTCAAAATAAATTATCAAAACGGTGCCATTTCAAAAGTTAACAATATAAAAATTTCAATTTTGCTCATCTTTGACTCAAAATATTAAATCCCAAATTTTCTCGTCTTCAACTTTCCCTTGTTTCTACTTTCCAGATCTTTTGACGAAACCCTTTCCTTTGATTTGCCCTTGTTCCCCTATTTCAATTCATCCCTTTTTCTTCTTTGATTTGTCCTTGTTCTCCTGTCTCAATTCATCCCTCGTCTTCAGCTTTCCCCTGTTTCTACTTTCCAGATCTTCGACAAAACCCTTTCCTTTGATTTGCCCTTATTCCCCTATTTCAATTCATCCCCTTTTCTTCTTTGATTTCTCCTTGTTCTCCTGTCTCAATTCATCCCCTTTTCTTCTTTGATTTGCCCTTATTACTCTGCATTCAAAAGCCCTCTATCCTAAAACCATTTCTTGCAAATTCTCCTTCCATCTTTCCGACACCATAGCCACTCAACCACTCACCAGAGGCCTAAAGACTATTTCGAAGAAGTTGCCGGCAAAAAGATGGCTATCCTTTGATTTCCCTAATTCAAGCAAAGGGAAAGGGTCAAGAAGATGCAACTGGACGCAGCACCGAGGAGGATGTAGTTGGAGAAGAGAAAGATCTTGTGGGTATGGTAGTGGGATTGTGTGATTGTCGATTGGGGAATGGTGTTGAGGGAAAGACAAATTTGGGGATTTTGATGAACTTGATGATATTCGATGGATTACTCAAGTGGGTATTTGTTAAATTTGGATTATGGAAGTTGCAGAGAGTAGAAGAAGATGGAATTTTGGAGTTTCTTTGATTTCCCTAATTCAATTATACTCTTCTTCAATTTCAACCGAAAACAAAGAAAAAAAGGTTGAAGAGGGAGAGATCTTTGAGGAATCCTTGAAATTTCTTGGTAGAATTTCTTATTGTTGAATAATAATCAATACTACAGGAGTGATTATTTTGTAAATTCTTGTGTTGAACTTTTAGAATTAGGTTAATACTTGGGAATTGGTTTTTCATTATTTTTTGCAAACTTATACATATATATATATATATATGAATTGTCCAAAACTTTGTTGGTTTATGTTGTTTTTATTTATTTTTAAAGAGGTTGAATTCTGTAGTGCTTTGATGATCTTTATGGTTTGGTTTTGGAGAGCAAGAAGCCAATTGGTGATGCTACCATATAGACATGGCATTTGGAGAGCAAGAAGCTAGTTGGTGATGCTGGAAAAGGGATAGAATGTAAATAGTGTTTCTAAGTTGTAAATACACAAATTTTGATTCAAAGTTTTGTCAACTTGTAAAAAGAAATTTCCCTAGGTATTCCTGGGTGTAAGATGTACAATGCTTTTGATGCAATAGAAGGACTTGCCTTTTTATCTAAAATAAAGTTCAGTCACTTGTATATCTTTTTCTTCTTTGCAATTGAAGCAAATTTATAGTTGATTTATAATAGTTAAGAGATAAAACCAACACCAATTTAATAAACAAAGAAGCCCATTGGCTTGATTTATCTTTGATCAATACAATAATGCAAAAGCACAAAAAAGTTCAGTTCACTTGATAACATAA